CAATGGGGAGGCCGTACAGGACCCTGAGAGACTCTGGACCTGGCAGCAGCATGAGGAGGCGGTACAGGGGCCCATGGCAGATTAGGGCCTGGCAGGCAGCAATGGGAGGGCCCGTAATCTGCCACACCCTATGACAAAAAATGAACACACCAGCAGTGTGAGGAGACCTGAAAGTGGCAACATGGCAGAGTGTGGCGATGGAGACAGCAATGACACCAAAAAAAATGGGAGGCCGTACAGGGACCTCAGTTGAGACACTGGACCTGGCAGCAGCATGAGGAGCGGTACAGGGCCCATGCAGATTAGGGCCTGGCAGCAGCATGGGAGGTCCCCGTAATCTGCCAGCACCCTATGACAAAAAATGGAACACACTGGCAGCAGTGTGAAGGGAGACCTGAAAGTGGCACACCCATGGCAGAGTGTGGCGATGGAGACAGCAGCAATGGGAGCCGTACAGGGACCCCATGAGAGACTCTGGACCTGCAGCAGCATGAGGAGGCGGTACAGGGGCCCATGGCAGATTACGGGCCTGGCAGCAGCAATGTGAGGCCCGTAATCTGCAGCACCCTATGACAAAAATGGAACACACCAGCAGTGTGAGGAGACCTGAAAGTGGCACATGGCAGAAGTGTGTGGCGATGGAGACAGCACAATGGGAGCCGTACATGGACCCATGAGGAGACTCTGGACCTGGCAGCAGCATGAGGAGGCGGTACAGGGGGCCCATGGCAGATTACGGGCCTGGGCAGCAGCTATGGGAGGCCCGGTAATCTGCCAGCACCCTATGACAAAAAAATGGAACACAATGTGTGAGGAGACCCGAAAGTGACCACAGCAGAGTGTCAATGGACCTGGAACAGCAGCAATGAGGAGGCGGTACAGGGGCCCATGAGACACTGTGGACCTGGCAGCAGCATAGATGAGGCGGTACGGGGGCCCATGGCGAAGTATTACGGGCCTGGCAGCAGCAATGGGGAGGCGCCCGTAATGCGAGCGCTCTGCCAGCACCCTATGACAAAATGGAACACCACCAGCAGTGTGAGGAACCTGAAAGTGGCACATGCAGAGTGTGGCGATGGAGACAGCAGCAATGGGAGGCCGTACAGGGACCCATGAGACACCTGGACCTGGCAGCAGCATGATGAGGCGGTACATTGGGGCCCAAATGCAGATTACGGGCCTGGCAGCTCACAATAAAATCTGCCAGCACCCTATGACAAAAATGGAACACACCAGCAATTGTGAGAGACCTGAAAGTGTGCACAGGGCAGAGTCCTTTCTAGGTGGCTATGGAGAAACAGCAATGGGAGGCCGTACAGGGGACCCATGATAGACTCTGGACCTGGCAGCAGCATGAGGAGGCGGTACAGAGGGCCCATGGCAGATTACGGGGCCTGGCAGCAGCAATGGGAGGCCCGTAATCTGCCAGCACCCTAATGAACAAAATGGAACACACCAGCAGTGTGAGGAGACCTGAAAGTGGCACATGGCAGAGTGTGGCGATGGAGACAGCAGCAATGGGAGGCCGTACAGGGACCCATGAGAGACTCTGGACCTGGCAGCAGCATGAGGAGGCGGTACAGGGGCCCATGGCAGATTACGGGCAATGGGAGGCCCATAATCTACCAGCACCCTATGACAAAAAATGGAACACACCAGCAGTGTGAGGAGACCTGAAAGTGGCACATGTTTGGGGCATGATTCATGGCGGATTTAGTCAGTTGTGTCAGGAACTGGTGGTTTGAAATCCAGACTAATCCACGCCTGATTCATTTTCACAAACGTGAGTCTCTCCACACTTTGGGTGGACAGTCGTGTCCTCCGCGGAGTTACAATACCTCCTGCCGCACTAAACACGCGCTCCGATGCCACGCTACTGGCCGGGCATGACAGCCTTTCAAGGGCAAATTCAGCTAGTTGGGGCCAAAGGTCAAGTTTCGTTGCCCAGTAGTCAAGGGATTGTCTACCTCGGTTGGCAGGGTGCTGTCCAAGTAGGCCCAAGCCTGTTGTTTGAGGTCTTGCTCCAGGTCCACCTGATGCTGCTGCTGCTGCGGCTGGTTAGTAGTTTCCTCACTGCGCTGGTGAAGAAAGCTACTCATCATCGACTGCAGACTAAGGCAGCCGCTGCTGGTTGAGCTGCCACTGCTCCTACCACCCCACCCCTCCCCTGCTGCCATGGCAGCAGAACGCGAGCGCACAGGGCCCACAGTGTCTGAGGATGGACGTTGGCGCAGAAAGGCAGAGACCAACTGACTACATAGGTGGTTTTTATAGTACATTATTTTGGCCTCCCTCTCAGCAGGTGTGAAAAAGGCCACCATTTTTGAACGGTAGCGAGGGTCCAACAAGGTGGACAGCCAAAAGTCATCCCTCTGTCTGATGGTTATTATTCGGCTGTCGCTACGCAAGCAACCGAGCATGCTATGGGCCATTTGTGCCAAGGAATGCGAGGGACTCCCTGCCTCCATCTCCACAGCATACTGCCACGGTGCGTCTGGGTCCTCTGTCTCCTCCTCCTCCTCCTCCTCTACCAGATGCTCCTGCTCCTCCACTCCTGTCCGCTGAGTGGAAAAACCACCCATTTCACTCAATAATTCCTGAGCACAAATGTCCTCCTCTACCTCCTCCTCTTCTTCCTGTCCTGCCCCCACAGGGGTCATGTGGCGTTGAGATCTGTGCGCCACGTCTACCGCACCCTGACCAGCCATTGTTAACAGCATTTGTTCCAGGACGTGCAACAGAGGAATGACGTCGTTCATCCCATAGTCCTGCCGACTCACGAATAGCGTGGCCTCCTCAAAGGGCCTGAGCAAGCGGCAGGTGTCACGCATGAGCTGCCAATGGCTGACATCGAAGTTACACAGGGGAGTACCTTTATCCGCTTGTAACATCAGGAAATCTGTGATGGCCTTTCGCTGTTCGTAAAGGCGGTCTAACATGTGTAGGGTTGAATTCCACCTTGTTGCAACGTCGCAGATCAGGCAATGCTGTGGAATTCCGTTCTGCCGATGCAGCTCAAGGAGGGTGTTAGAACCCGCCAGGTGGTGCCCCTGGCAGCCCACTTGACAGACCTACCCAAAGCGTGGAGTCTAAGTCCCGGTCTGTGCTTTCACCAGGGCCCCTGATGGTGGGGATGGACTTGAAACAGACCGGGACCAGGTCACGACCTCCGAGCAGGCCCACCAGTGGCAGGGGCAACCTCCGGGGATGTATTGGTACCCGGGAGAGCCAGATGTGAGGAGGACGGCAGGACCTAGCAGGATGGATCACGAGCGGGGGTCCCGTGGGGTAGGCGAGGTACAGAATCGGCAGGCGGAGAGTAGTCAGGTCACACGCAGGGTCAGCAGGATACGTCAGTCCGTAGAGGGGTCAAAACAAGCCGAGGGTCAGGATGGGAGAAGGCAGAGTAGTCAGGACAATCCGGGTCAACACAGGAGTAGGCAGCGTAGTCAGGGTCAATCAGGGTCAAAAACACAGGTACAGGACTCAGGAACTCAGATAGACCTTGCGGCGATTACTGACAGTGCAGGGCATCTTTAAATATTGCGCCCTGCACTGTCATTGGCCGCTCGGGACGCGCCCCCGGGCGTGTCATTGGCCGCCCGAGGCGCGCCCGCGGGTCCCACTGCGCATGCGCGGCATCCTGTCATCCACGGCTCGCCGGGACCTAGTGCCTGTGTCCCGGCGTGAGCCGTCGCCAGTGCGCATGCGCCGGCCGACAGGACGCCGTGATCCCTGACAGAGGGTGTGCTTTGCGGTGTAGGAATGGCTGAAATGCATGCAAAGTTTACGTGACATTTTAAGGATGTCTTGCAGTGGGATGGTGGATTTTAGGAACCGCTTGACAACCAGATTGAACACGTGAGCCATGCATGGCGCATGGCACAACCTTCCTTGACGCAGAGCAGACACCATGTTCTTTCCGTTGTCGGTCAACATGGTTCCGATTTTCAGTTTGCGTGGAGACAGCCATCTGTCGATTTCTCTGTTCATTACACTCAGAAGTTCCTCCCCTGTGTGACTACGTTCGCCAAGGCATACCAGGTGCAGCACAGCGTGACACCGTTGCGCCCTGCACATGTGATATGCCGGTCGGGTAATGGGACTTGGCACGGGGGTGGCGGCTGAGGACACGGCGGAAGAAGAGGTGGTAGAGGCGGACATCTTTTGTGGACCAAGGACGTGCAAACGTGGAGGCAAAAACGGCGTGACCTGTCCAAGTTGCTGGTGCGGCTGTGCCGGCACCACGTTCACCCAGTGGGCCGTAAATGACATGTACTGTCCCTGACCGTAGTTACAGCTCCACACGTCGGCACTGCCGTGCACTTTGGCAGAGACCGACATGCTCAAAGACTGGCCCACCATCTCTTCTACATGTGAATGCAGGGCTGGCACTGCCTTTTTGGCGAAGAAATGACGGCTTGGCACTCTCCACCGCGGCGCGGCACAAGCCATCATTTCTCGGAAAGGTGCTGAGTCCACCACTTGGAAAGGGAGGGACTGCAGCACCATCAACTTGAACAGGAGGACGTTCAGCTTTTGCACCGTCGGGTGCGTGCTTGCAAACTGTTGTCTCTTGGAACGGATTCCAAGAAAGACTGCTGACGGAATCCGTGAAGAGGAGTAGCAGGAGAAGGAGCATCTGAACGAGCGGAAGATGCCAACGAGCGACAACTCCCCTCAGCAGAGGTGTTGGAGCCTTGACTGGCTGATAGAGGGCGATTGACGTCGGGTGACGGAGCAAGTAACGGAGCGGGGGCTGGGGCAGGCAGAACCGCCGTATCTTTATCACGGTTTTCCCAGGCCACCAAATGGCGACGCTGCATATGCTGCCGCAACGCTGTAGTCCCAACATGGGCCCCCTGGCCACGCTTGACTTTCTGGCCACATAGTCGACATACGGCTACGTTTACTTCCTTGGGCGGCTTGACGAAAAATTGCCACACCGCCGAGTAGGAAACTTTGCCCCCGATACTCCTCACTGGCTGACTGCTACTTCCTCCGTGCACACCGGCACCACTACTGGCCGTGGTGGTAGGCTGCAGTGGAGCTGGTGCTCTACTCCGTGGCCGTTTGCCTCCACTGACACTGCTGCGACCCTGCTGCCTCCTGGGCAACCCACCAACTGTTTTGCTCGCTGCCAAGCTGCCACCCTCTTCTCCTGATGATGCGGAAGCAATAGCCTGATGACGACGAGGCTGCCAAGTGCGATCAGCCTCATCATCATCAATTAGGGTCTCCGCCTCACTACTAGCCCCCTCGGCTGCGTGTGGGTCAGGAGACAGACCTGTCTCTAGACCGGCTACCGAGCCACTCTCCTCGCCACTACTTCTTCGCCTGGCTGCTGAAGAGGCGGATGTCTCCCCCCGTTCCTGACCGCCCTCTGTTAGCTCTTCCTCACTGTACAGTGGGGCTGAGCCCACAGCATGCGATACTTCGCTTGGTGAGGGAACACCAAAGGACAGGGGCAGGTAGAGGACACGTGATTTTAGTGGGCTTGCTCCCGGGCCATGCCAACTAACGGTTGTGTCTGACGTTGTCAGAGCCTGGAATCGAACCTGGGCCTTCTGCGGTGAGAGACAGTGTTTCTTCTCTCGCTGAGCCACCTGGAATGCTGGACAGCTCCCTTGACAATTCTTTGGATGATCCTGCCTTTGCCCTGTTTTGTCTTGAACCTTGAACTCCTTGCTCCTCCCATGAACTTCCTATAAAAGCCATGTCTCTGCACTTCCTGGTTGCCAGATTATTGTGCCTTACCAGCCAATATCCTGCTTACTGTTCCTGCTGCTGTCTTCATCTACGTTACCGACCTTTGGCTTGCTACTGACTACGATTCTGCCTCATCCTATCTACTACCATTGGTGACCGACCCCTTGGCTTGTGACTGACTCCGCTTCTGTTTAATCCCTGAACTGTTTGATCCGCTTTTGGTTTCCAGCCTACTCATTCCCTGGTGGGGTGATCCTGAGACCTGTGACCTGGCATTCACACGCAGCCAAATCCATCTCCACCATTAGGAGCTCTGGGGAAGACCGGTGGATGCTTAGACCCCGCACCTCAGGTGAGCCTGCGTCATTCTCAGGGTGGGCCGCTGGTGTACCAATCCTGCTGGTTTCAGGTAAGCCTTACAACTGCTGTAGCAACTGGTCTCTGAACCTGACCTTATATCGTGACAGACGTACACACCGACCGTTGGCTGTAGGTGTCAGAGGTGACCTGGGAAGAGGAAGACGACTGAGCCAACCAATCGATGACGGCAGGGTTGTCGGTGGAGACACGACCGCTGGATGACACCGGGAGCAATGGCCTCTGGCTGCGACTAGTGCTGCCTCGACCCCTTCCTCTGCTGCCACGTCTGCTCGCTCCTAAAACATTGCCTCCTCTGCCACTCCTCTGCATGTTGTCTGACATACTCTTTAATTCAACGATTATGTGTCCCTGAGTCCCTAGTAACAATTCTGTGTCCCTGAGTAACAATTCTGTGTCCCTGAGTAACAATTCTGTGTCTGTCCCTGAGTAACAATTCTGTGTCTGTCCCTCAGTAACAATTCTGTGTCCCTCAGTAACAATTCTGTGTCCCTCAGTAAACAA